ACGGTGGTCCCATCCATTATCCAAGTGACAAACCACGCATTTAGGATTGATTTTGACTTGGCAGAAATAAAACATTCTAAAAACACATGCTTAAAAGAATTAGGAATGACTGAACCTCGATGACATATATATTTCCTTTTTCTTGCAATTTGATACCTCAATTTTTTTCATTCAATTAAATGTCTTAAATTTTCAAAATTGATATGCGTACGTAAATTCATGAGAATAAGCCTAGTTATTAAAACGTGCTCTAACAAAAAATTTATGTACTTTTAATATCATTATTTAAAAATATCATAGAATTTTTATTTAAATAATAAATAACCTTTATAATTATCTCTATAGACGTATACATTACATATATTTGAGATTTGAACAAGAAATCGCCAATTACGATTAGAAGCATGAATATAATTGAGAATATTGTGATAAGAAGCAACCATGGCAAAGAAAAAATAAATAATTAAGAAATGGAATCGTTAAAGTGAGTTAACTAATTTCTCTTGAAAAATGAGAGGTGCAAGAGGAGGGTAGCCCGGCCCCCCGAACTCCTTTCGGATTTACATTGTTTGGATACCTTGTCATTGGGTATTTTGTTTAAGAACTCTTAAGCTTTCGATAATATCGTCGTGTTTTTCGACCAAAAAAAAAGAAGAAGAAGAACAGTCACTAAATTGAAAAATGACAGCACCGTCGGCCTCTCATTTCTCATACCATACAATTAAATTTAATAGTGGAACAATTGCCAATCACCCATCGATTATAGATCAATTTTAATTTTTGTTTTTATCCTTTAAGTGTATTTCAGCTTTTTAGTGCGCCATTTTTCAAGTTTTTGCACCAAATATCTTTTCTAGTCGTTCGATTAGAAATCGAGTGATCATAGGTTAGGCGAATAGCTCCGCCAAGCCCATCAGGCCTGAAGTGTAAACGAGTGAAGGTCGTTTCCTTCTTAGCACTAACCTGTCCAAGCCCTCTTCGATCCTATTACTTTCTTATATAAGATATTTGATAAAAAATAAAAATATTTTTCTTTACGTTTTGCTTTCCCAAATGAACTTGAAATCGAGAAAAACCGTATATCTCTAATCCTTGAAAATAATGAAATTTTTTTTTACATGACTGTATATGTCGGTACTTGTGAGTTTTAAAAAGTTTTTTAATGTTCAATATTAATAAATGCCAAATTGCACACGAGAACTTTTAATATCTTAATCACGGTTTGTGCCATCTGAAGTCTCGTACTAGATAAATGGGACCTCGTGATGTTATTCACATAGAGACCCACCCTCAAGAAGTCATAATCTCGTGGGGCTACTCGAAAAACTTATTTTGAGAGTTTGGCCCATTGGAATAGGTCGAGACGTTGATGGTCATAGGAGGACCCCATCCACCTCCGGAAGGTGTGTTGTTCGTGACGGATTGGGTCTAAACCTAATCAGACGAAGGCAGGAGTGATTCGTAGGGTGAGAGGGTTCGAATAATGTGGGACTCCCGAAAAGCTTTTAGAACGGCGGGGGAGGCAAGAATGGATTGGGCCACACGTCAAATAAGGGAAGTATCGTTGGGTGATATGGGCCAACATTGACGTGTCAATTTTTTAAGTGGAGAGTATGTGACAACTGACAACCCATGTGTCCTATATCCTGCTGAGGCATTATGATATTATTCATAAGTAAGGTTTATCCTCAAATGGTCACCACATTTTACTCAGAGTACTCCTTTTGAGGGCTTGGCCCACGTGAAACGGGCCGAATTGTTACGTAGGCAAGGGTTTTTATGCCCGATCCAATACCACATATTGATCGGTTGTTCACATGTTCTTTTTGTTTTCCCATGACTTGCATTCATACTGCCTTGGCATCTTATCAAGGAGTAAAACGACAAGTTGTCGATAATCAGACAGACTACGTTACGTTAACAATACCAGGAAACGAATCATACTTGTCTGGTTGCATTTGAGCGTAAATGAATGAAGTACGCTAGTTTCCTGTTACCTTTTAGTTAGTCGACAATGATGTCAACAATAAATTCAATGACATATTGTATTTTGCTCAGGAACCTAACATAAATAAAGACTTTTTTTCATACCTTCGACAACTTAACAAGAAGTTGTTTGTTGATACAAGTCGTTGAACAAAATTTGTCGCAAGTGGTTTGTAAGGGTGTAAAAAATACCCGAACCGAAAATTTTGGATCTTTTCGGGTTGGGTGTCCTTCTAGTTTACTATTTCGCCTTTGTTTAAGACGAACTTGTTAAACATTGAAAGCTTATTTTTCCAATCCATCCAAATTAGTTTAGGATTGGGCTTTCGACTACCATCATTTTAGGATTCAGTTTGTGATTTGAAGGACACAGTTTAATTAAAAAAAGAAAAATATCTATGAACATTGTGATTGAGTTATCATGTGGTAGAGCCTAATCTAGCGAGTTTTCCAAATTGCACAAAGACTTCTTCTAATGGGATAATGATATAAACAGTTCATGAATTTTGATCCAACGTGCAATGTGGTCCCTGAATGTAGTCCATGAACTTTAGTATAATGTTCAATGTGGTTCATGAACTTTTAATTTATCCAATGTAGTCCTTGGATTTTTTGTACATGTCCTATGTAGTTCCTGAACTATATAAAAATATTCAGTGTAGTCTCTAAACTTGAATTAATAGAAGGACCACATTGGACATTTTCATATAATTCAGGGACTAAATTGAAATATTTAATTAAAGTCCATGGACAACATTGAATAAATTCAAACTTTAGGGACCACATTGCACATTGGGTCAAAGTTCAGGGATCACGTTGAACAAATTAATAGTTAATGTGCAAAGTTCAAGAATTGTTTGTATAATTTTTCCACTTCTAATAAATGAATATGCCTAAAAATGCGGGCATATCGTGACATGTGACACTCACGAGCATCCTCTCTCTTCATCTTCTCTCCCTAGATGGATAGCTACTAACTTAAGCATCAAATAGTCCTCACGGGCAAACGCTTATTGTCTTGGCGACGAGCAAATTATAAGTCATGGAGTCTAATTGCAGAGATATGCGGGCATGCCAATTTTGTACATAGTCATCCTCAAAAGATGTTGTCAAAGAACAACCCAAACTCCTCTAATGCTCGTTTGGACATAGTGTTTTAGCTTTAGGATAATGACACAAATGATCTATGTATATAATGTGGTCTCTAAACTTTTAATTTGTTCAATATAGTTATTAAACTTTTGGCTTATTTTCAATCTAGTTCTTGAATCATATGAAAATATTCAATATCATCCCCGAACTTGAAAATGGAAGGACGATTTTGAACATTTTCATATAGTTTATTAACTAAATTGAACATGTACTAAAAATTTGAGGATTATATTGAACAAATTCAAAGTTCATGAATGACATTGCACATCGGATTAAAATTTATGGATCATATTATATATCAGACCAAAGTTCAAAAATCACAATATATATCGAGTTAAAATTTAAAGACTATTTATATTATTTTTCCTCGAGTTTTGGCTGCGGAATGCAATTCTGTAGCGACAAGCCTTTTTCTTTATCTTCTTTTTGTAAAAAGGCAAGGGCACACACATAACAATGAGAAGAGGGAAGGCAGTAGGCACGACCCAATCATTTCGGCTTTATCCACGGCCGCGCGAGCCTTGCTTTGCGTCCAATCGCACGCCGTTTCCATTGGGAGAGTCCACCACGCGACGCCCATCTGATTAGGCTCCCGAACGGATTGCGATTTGCCAAAAGCTCGAACGCCATTGGTCAGTGTCGTACCCAAGAGTTTCGTACTTCGTACCCGTTTTATTGGGTGTCCAATTAAAAATCGGACCGGATCTGATACGGCGCCAATTTCGAACTCGACTCAGATTTGCATATCCATGCTCATGGCTCGGCTCGAGCTCGATCGAGTATTGAAATTTCTGCTCGAGCTCTGGTCGAATGAAAAAGTTAAGATACCCGAGCTCAGCTGGTTTACTATCAATTTACAAAAAGAAACTAGAGATCTCTCAAAAAGCTCCAATTCAGCGGGTTTATCGCGTGATTTAGAAAATTTTCGAGTATTTATTTTTTTATAATTGCTGTAAACTAATTATGAAAAAAGTAGCGGTAACTCGATTACGCTCTATAGCTTGTTGAGACGAGTATTGGTGAGTTGAGCTCACCCCGATAAGATGATTGAGTAACTTGAGTCGGAGCTTAGCTCAAATTCAAGCAAGTCGAACCTGAGCTACCCACATAGAAATCAACTTGGTTTTTTCCCAACAAATGAAAATTTCCGATGATTCCTTGATGTTTACGCGAGTGTAAATTTCATTGGTCATAAATTAATTATACGTGCCTTGTCGATTGTCATGTTTATGCAACATAATTATATTTAAAAAAACAGATAATTTCTTTCGACGAGGAATGCACCTTTAAGTGCAATCTCTTATGTTGGAGCACAATCAAATACGAGTCGTGCGAACAAGGTTTAAAAACTTAATCCGATTAACCATAGTTGTAATCTCTAGTTAGGTTCGAGGCGGAATTTCAATTTGAGTTACTCAGATAGGTTTGGAAATTGTTGGAGGACGAACAAATCTCAATTGTTAATGTACTCAGGCTCCGTTTGTTTCGCGAAAAATAAATTATTTGAAAAACATTTTTCTAAAAACAATCGTTTGGAATAGTTGGCCAATTGAAAAATGTTTTCTTTATCGACGATAATTTATATCTAAATATTTTCGCAGATGATGAAAATATATTTCATTCATTTATTTTTTTAAGCAAGTAATCATTTAAAAAAAAAATTCTTTCAAACCATTTATTTTTTATTAAACAAACATAGCTTTAATTTCTCTAATTCCATAATTAACACTTCCGCACGTGAGCGCGTGCAGTTCCCACCACTTCTAAGCGCGTGGCGTCGTTTCGAGGATCGAGTCTCCCGCGAAGATTAGTCCTAACGCGCCGCCGTTATATCAGTCTCTTTCTCCGCCGGTACGGTCAGATCTCTTCCCTTCTCTCTCTCTCTCTAGCTCATGGACCCGCCGATCTCTCGAGCGCCGCCGCCGCCGCCGCCGCCCGCCCCCTCGCCGACCGCAACCGAAGCCCCCGCCGCGACGGCCGCCAGCAAAACCCGAGACCGGGACTTCCTCCTCCACCTCGAGGCCTACCTCGCCAGGCGAGACGGCGTCGACAAGGCCCTCAAGATCTCCAGGTACGCCGCGAAGATCGCCCTCTCCTCTTCCCTCCTCCCCGAGGCGGCCCTCCCCCTCCGCCGCCGCCTCAAGAGCTTCGAGTCCAGCGTCGGCCTCAGCCGCAAGGCCTTCCGGCTCGGCAAGTTCGTCCAGGACGTGAACGCCCTCCGGGCCTCGCCCCTCGGCTCCGGCCACGACCTGTTCCTCGCCCTCGTCGCCTACGGCGGCGAGGGGCTGTACTACTTCGTCGAGCAGTTCGTCTGGCTGGCGAAATCGGGCCTCATCGACGGCCGCCACTCGCCCGTTCTCTCGAAGATCAGCGCGTGGGCCGAGTTCGTCGGGTACGTCGGGAGCGTGAATCTGAAGATTAGGGATTTGAGGCGGTTGCGGGAGGACGAGGCGTGCGTCGAGTCGAGCATCGAGATCGCGGCGTCGAGGGGGATCGGTTGCAAGGAGGAAGAGCTGAGGCTGAGGAAGCTGAGGGAGAAGAAGCTGATGAAGAAGCTGTCCGTGGTCCAGGACCTGGCCGATGGGTTGATGGCCCTGGCCGACATCAGGGACGGGGAGGGGCGGCTCTCGGGCCCGCTTCTGGTGTCGTGCGCGGGGCTCGTGTCGGCCCTGATCAGCACGCATAAGAACTGGGTGTCTTGCTGATCCTGCCGCCACTTCGCATAGTGAGTTTTGAGCTGCTCTCTTCCGTTTTCATGGCCGTCACATGGATTCCTTGTTTAGAAGGAAAGGATTGGACAGGGCAAATGGCAGAGAAGGACTAGGACTTGGAATTGGAAAGGGAAAGGGGATACAAATAAGAGAGGTTTGTGTGCTTCACCATCTTTTGATAAAGGCATAGTGGATTTTTCTGTTTGATTTATGGGTTCTGATGTGCAAACTGAGATGTCATTCTTGAGCAATATAGGTGCAAGTGCAATGCCCTTTTTATAGTTCTTTGTCGAGTATGTTGAGAGTCGCACGATTCAAGCCGCCAGGATGATGACATTGACAGAGCATTTCATTCTCAAATCCTCAGTCTGAACTTATATGTCAGATATTCGATCAAGAATGTCGAATTCGAATCGAATCAAACGAAGGGGAATGCGCAGATCCTTCTGGAGTTCACTGAAAAGCAATAATTCTAACTCCTGGGTCGATCTCCCTGAAGGAACTTGGCAAACTTATCTAAACTAGCTATCTTTAAATGATGTTTCTGGTGGCTGTAGATGAGTAGGACTTGCAAAATGAATCTGGTTTTGAGTTATTTGCAACACTGACTATTATCTGTAACTGTAACCTCCAGGACATGGTGCTCTGGATCTTGACCCCTCATCCGCAAGCTATGCACCGGCCTTCATTGACTCACTTGTTCATTATTTTCTTGGCGTTCCATTAGTATCGTCATATTTATATCATCCGATTTCTTCTATGCATGCTTGGCTTGCAGGGTTTAACTAAAATTGCTTAGTGTCATTTGTCAATGATAGCTGGAGAGATTGTCTTGAGCTCAGTGTTACAGGATTTCCTTCGAAAGGAGAGACAGGATAGGATCTGCGTTATCAAGTACCACGGCACAGGTTTCAGCCCTAGTTTGGTATGTGGCCGAAGTAAAAATCAATCAATACTAAGATCTCGACTAAGGCTATAATCAGGCTAATTCGAGCTGATGTAGTGACAAGTTCAAAGTCGACTCCCCTGATAGAGATCAGCGCTATAAACTCGATTCCCGCCGGGATCATTTACTGCATTCGAGATCGATTCCGACATCCATTGCAACAGGGTTTAGTTGCCTGGCATTGGCTAACCAGATCTATTGACTTTTCACGGTTCGCCTACCCATCTAGAGGAAGATTGCGAATTAACACTATCTAAGAGATGGTCTCTACGAGATCTTGAGGTGTCAAAACATGAATCAGGTAATGAAAGCTTCAATGTCACGTCGAAATTTCATTCGACGGAGTTAGGTAAGCGCCTTCTCAAACATCAGTGCCTATCGTCAGCTTCAATGGACAGTAGCCGGTTGGAGTCTCTTAACTATAGCGTCTCTGGCCATAGCCCCACCCCAAGTTTTCTCAAGGAAACCGGAGGTTTGGTTGCTATGAGAAAACTGTGAATCCAATTTGGTGGGCCCCACCAAGTGGGGGACTCATTAGATTTAAAAAGTCAATAATTCAAATTAAAAAATTAAAAACAAAACTTATTAAAAAAATCATTAATATAAATCATTGGGGGCTTGCCCCAATGGAAATGGGGAGATGAGGAGTTCGAAACTCCCCTCCTTCGGATATAGGGATTTATGGGTTTATGGGGTTACCCCAAGTGGGCCCACTATGTGCTTGCCAAGCTCCATGTAGAGGAGCTCCAAAGTTTAGGATTATACATGGCCGACCAAAAATAAGAAAAACATCATCAATGTAGAATATCTTTACATTGAATATAGAAACAACGGTTAAACATATGTATTATACGGAAAAATAAATCTAGGATATCTATTACAACATCTCTACTATAATTTTTTTTTGAAACTTGTAATCGTAAAACAAAAGATTTATCATTTAAAAAATGAATATAATTGTCTAAATTAAACTCGAACACCTAATTTACACAACTTAAAGCATATATAAATTCTACTCGAGTCATGGCAATCCAAGTTAACTCGAATATCAAAATTATGATCATCTTGTGACTAACTAAAAATGAAATTTATCTAAAAAGTTAAAGTGTATTGGATTTGTTTGATTAAAATTTTTTACCTCATTGCATTTTTCTTTTCGTACAACCCTCGCTTTTTCATCGTGCTAGCCAACTTTCAAATTTTTTCACTTGTTCGGTAATCCTCTGAAATCTCATGAATTAGGTTGAAATACATATGTGGATTGGTATTTTGACTTTCATTATATCTAGAGTTGGTGAAAATATTTTCGCGAGGACACTGCAAAAAAATTGAATTTTACATTTAAGTAATTATTCAAAGCATTACAAAAAGTTCACAAGCATTAGGTATATTTCATTTTCTTTATGGAAAAAAAGAATTATTGTCCAATATTGAGAAATTTCTATCAATATTTTTTTCCAAATTTGTTCCATGTTATGATTCCGATTTCCCATTCCCATTAGTTGGCACTTTGTGGTCCACAAGGCAACCGTATTCCCTGTAATTAACGGTGTCGTTTCTCTAGCAATGTCCCGAGAACTATACCTCAGTTGAGTTTAACGCTATGTTTGGTATAGGTGATTAGACAAGAAAAAGAAGTAATTTAAATATTTATGAAAGAAAAGATAAGATAAGAAAGGAAATAGAGAGATAAAGTTGTTTGATATTAAGGAGAGAAAGAAATGGAAAATAATCCATAATGATTTAAATTTTACTTATATGCATTTATAATTTGAAGGGCAAAAGCCACCATAAATCCTAAACTATACCCACTGTGACATAGTTTTCCTAAACTTTTTGATATGACATGAAAAAATCCCAAACTTGTACATGCATGACACATTTACACTTCTTCAAAGTTCTGTTAATGAGACTCGTTAAAAAATCTGCCTACATGAATGCCGAAAAGCAAACGGTAGTGACATGATACCAACATGACTTAAGTGAAATAAAAACAACATTATTTTGACTGAAAAATCATCTGACAGAACCTTAAAAGAGGGTAAATGTATCGCATTGGTACAAATTTTGGGTTTTTTTTATGTCACAAGAAAAGGTTTAGGGTAAATGTGTCTCAATGGGTATAGTTTGGATTTTTTTATGTCACAAAAAAATTTATGATAAATGTGTCACGGTGGGTATAGTTTGAAATTTTTTTGTGGCTTTTTCCCTAATTTGAAATACCACAAGAGTACAAGATAGAAAAGAGAAAAACATTTTTTTACTAAAGGCACGGAATTCCGTTGAATTTGTTTAAATCCATCCATAATCGGGCGAATTTGGAGGGATTTAAAACACACATAAAATTAACTATATCCCATCAATCTCTATTTTTTTGCTCTGTCCCCTTCCTTCCATCCAAAGAAGACAATATCTTTAATATTCTTTTTTGTCTCAATCCCCTCTATTGAATATTTAAATAATTTTGAAAATTTGAAAACCTCGATAGCCATCAATTTGATGACTAACGATTGTTTTGTAACGATTTTGTAGCAGTTTTGACAATCATCAATTGATGAAAAAGGGCTTGATTTTTAAACTTGGTGAATAATGAATGATGCAAGAATCGGTGAAGAAAAAACGAAGTTCTCTTTCATTTAACCAAAAAATAGAATCTCCAAACCACAATAAAAAAAATACACTTACGAACAAAAAAATTCTCTTCTCAGTTCATTCTTTTCTTTACTGGATTTTTTTTTAAAATTTTGTTATTCCTATTCTCTCTATTATTCAGTGCAAAGTAAAGAAGAAGATATGTTGTATCTTGAGAGGATATCCGCTACAACCTATTGTATCGAGTTTCATACTCCGAGAAGTAGAAATAGTGTTTGCACGCCTTAAACAGTTGATCTTATTTTTATCTTCTTCAACTTATTTCCAACGACAAAGCTTTGGAGTGAATTGTTGTTTTGTTGTTACCATCATGGAAAGGATTTTTTTGTGGTAGAAAAAACTGAATTTTCTTTACTGAGCGACAAGTACATTAAATATAATTTGGTACATGCATTGCTGTTGTGAATGAAACAAAATGGCTTTTGACTTTTAAATTTGATATGAAGGACCTGGAAGAAGCTAATGTTATTTGGGTGTTAAAATCATAATTAGTGGCCTAATGCTGACTCAATGCTACTTAAAAAAAATGGACCCTTTGATGTCACACTTGTGAGTACCCCTTATGATGCTAATATCCCCAATTAGTGTAAAATAAAGGATATAGTGTGGCTTAGTATGAGTATCCTCAAATTATTGGGGAGTTTGATGCATTTAATGAATCGACCTGAAATAGCTTATGATGTGTGAAGACAATGCAAATATACACAAAATCTCAATCGTGATCATTGGATTGCTATGAGCAAAGTAAAGAAAAATCTAAGAGAAACCATAAATTATGACATTTTATATAGAGAATTTCACGCTGTATTAGAAAGATACAACGATACTAACTAGATCACAAAATCAGATGAGACAAAGTCCACTTGTGGATATATGTTCACCTTTAGTGAAGGTGTTGTAACTTGGAAATCAGCCAAACAAACAATAATTGCTAAATCCTCCATGGAGTTAGAGTTTGTAACTCTAGAATTGCATGGCATTGAGGCCGAGCGGTTCAGAAACTCCTTAACAGATATTCTTTTGGGAATGAAATCGATAGCTTCTGTGTCTATGCATTGTGGTTACCAAGCGGCAATAGCCATTGCAAAGAAAAAAACTTTTAATAGTAAACATAGACACATCCGATTGAGACATGATGCGGTAAAATGATTGCTTCAAGATGGAATTATTTCAGTTGATTATGTGAAGGTAGAAGTGAATTTGGCCAATCCTCCAACTAAACCTTTGGGAAGAAAATTAATTAATGATACATCGAGGGGAATGGGACTTGAGCCAATCAAGAAAAGTCAACAATGATGGTAACCTAATTTAAGTGATTGGCAACACACCTTAGGTTCATATGGGTAATAACAAATATCTAGCGATGTAATTGTAAAAATTATTGTCCCTCCTAAAGTGAGAACAGTACAAAACTGTAATGAAAGAGAGGTTGGGCTAAGCTCCTAATGAATTCCATATCAATTATTGGTGATGGAATAAATTATAGTGCACACACGATGGAATCACCTAGCTACTTCTATGAGAATTTTGGCAAAATCTGTCACGCCCCGAACCCCGTCGAGCTCACGACATCCTCCACTGGTCGATTTATGCGACATCCCAGGGTATCGCTGAACTCACTTAAAACCTCAGAGATTTAAATCAACAGCGGAAACCCCAAAATTTCCCGAACAAATAAAATTGGAGAGAAAAGGGAGAATGCACATTTTCATTTCTGATTTCAACTATACAATATTCATAATTTACAAAACCACCATAAATAAAAACACACCAACTAAGATCCACCGATATATATATATAAGCACACCGCACTACAACCATCGATATCAAAAGGACCGATGACCTGGACACCCTACCTTAAAAAATGGTACACTTCCAAAATTTTCTTTTCAACCCCTAAGCTAGCCCCTACGCCCCTTACTCGGCGTCCACTCTGAATCAGACTCCTCATCCTCCGAATCTGAATTTCCCTGATTAGACTGCTCTACTGAGGGCTCCGACTCCGCCTCAATCTCAATCGGGTGGTTTATGTCACCCGACTCCGCTTGAACTTCATTCTGTCCCTCCGATTCGGTCTCCTCATCAGACCCATACTCTGGTACAAACTCGGGGTCAATCCACTGCTCATACGGAGGAATAAACACCGGTTCCTCTTCTGGCTCGCCCTCGGGTTCAACGGGTTCGACTACGAGTTTCGCCTCGGGTTCCTCATCTTCTGGTCCCTCCTCTGGGATCGGCTCAAGATCCACATCCATTGGATCGTCTCCCTCCAAAGGCCCTTCCAGCTCCGGCTCGTTCTCCGCCCTTGAAGATCCCTGTGCTGCAGGCGCTGGATGAAGTCCCGATTGCGCCAGACTAGTTTCTGCGCTCATCAATTCACCATCAGGAGGGGGATACGGCAGCCGGGTCCCAGTCCCCAACTAAGTCAAAAGGAACATCAAAACCCCTGACGGGCCCGAACTCATCGACTCCATCCCGGAAGAACCATGCAGTGTATACATGGGGCTCCCACAAAGGTACTCCTACGTCTACAAACACTGTGGTAGTGGCGGGGGATTCATTGTTCCTGCCGAGGTTCTGAAATATTTGGTTGAAACAACCGTGAGATTAAATCTCAGTAAGTACACCCCTAAACTTCACCTAGTCTATCACGTACCTCCAGACAATCACAAAACACAATCACACACACCAAATCATCACATAGCAGACACACCAATGGTTCTTACCAGGGTCTATCATGCGTGCTACCTGCACGTTAGTCACAATCACATCATATACAATCACATGCATGTACAAATCTCATTTCATGCATTCGTTCCGTTCTCATCATATCTTTTCCACATCACTCGCCAGTGACCCGCGTTACAGTACACGCCTCAGGTCCACTGCGACCAACTTATCACAACACTTCAGGGCCCGCGTTAACGTACACGCCTCAGGCCATGTTTCTTGCCCGCGTTGTAGTACACACCTTAGGCTCAACATCTACCACCTACTGCGCAACCCGCGTTGAAGTACACGCCTTAGGCTGGCAGTCTTCCGGTAATACCGGGCATCGTCCCGCGTTGAAGTACATGCCTCAGGACGGCACAATTCCCACGATCGCACATGCCACACCACATTCGCTTTCTTGCTCATGCACATGCTCAACAACCACTTGCCACTCAGTTGGCCAATCACACGTGGCCCGTGCACGCAACAATTCACATACATTTTTCATGCTCACCAAGCATTCGACATGGCCTATTTGACAATTCATTCAGTCAGGCATATTTCAGTTAATCAATTTCACAATCATACACCCAATTTCATCACCACAATTCAGTCATAGATCAAACACACCCCTAACATACAAATTGACATTTTTCCATGTCCAAACTGCGTCAAATCAATTTCGGCCCTTCACGACATTTTCACGAAATTCAGAGGCGAATCTAAATATCCAATTCGCGTACCGAACCGAGCATCACAGCACTTAGATCAGCCAATCACAGCCCACTTTTAACCTCAACATTTCCACCAAAATTCCCAATTTCATTCTTAAGGCCCGCCAAACATTTCCGTACCTAAATCGTACAATTTCCACACCCAAATAAACCCGATTTCACCCGAAAAATTATTTGTCGATACCCGACATCCTAACTAAGGTTTAGGTGCGACTTACCGGACTCTAGACTAAAGCGGCTAGAGCGAAAAGCGGCGGCGATCAAGGAGGACGGCGGCGAACGGCGAGCGGCTCGGCGGTTTGGGCGGACGGCGGCGGTTCACGGTGGTGGTGGCGGGGTTCACGGCCAAGGGGAGAGAAACTGAGAGGGAGAGAGAGAAACGACGGTGTGGGGGTGGCGAGGCGGTGGTGCGGAGCGGCACAGCGGCGGGCGGTGCGGCGGCGACGGCGGTCCGGGCGGAGTGGCGATCCGGTGAGAGAGAGAGAGAGAGTGATCGGAGGGGAGGCTCTCGGTGGGGAAGGGGGGACCGAATGGGGAGAGAGGAGAGAGAGAAAGAGATAAGACTTGGTCAATCTTGGTGACCAAGCTTTGACCCAAGTGAAAAATGACCAAAATGCCCCTCTCTAACCTTTTTGATCCAACAGTCGAGATTCGATCTAATCTTGAAATCAACGGCTCGGATTGAATCTTGCTTTAAAATATCCAAGGGTATTGTGTCTTTTCCAACTTTGGGGGCAAAATGACCAAAACGCCCATGCCTCATAAAACTAACCCTTTAAAAAGCCCTAGGGGCAAAACGGTCACTTCCTCATTTCTCATCGAAATCGAATTTTTTTGAAGGAATCGGGACAATCCAAAATTACACGTCCCATCCGCAACGTCGTCCTAACATCCCGTTGTGACTTCCAAATTTTGCCGATGTCCAATTTGGGCTCAATTAAATAATCAAATTTTATTAAACGCAACTCGAGCGTTTCTCAAACTAACGGGTGGGTTGTTGGGGAAATTCGCATATTCGACCCGTGACTGACAATAATTCAAGTCACGTGCAAGTTCATTCGGTTCGTGACGACTTCGGTTGTCATTTAATCGCGAGGATCAATTGCTAGATCCGAGGGGCACGATCGTTTGGTATAGGTTCAGGATCATTCGTCAAGTCATTTCGCGGCCCGGCGGAATCACCCGCGATCCGCTACTAGGACAGTGGCGAATTGACCCTTAGCTATCCTTGGATCGGCCAACAGTGGCTCAAAATATCACCTCGACGATTTCATGGTCGAAAGTCAATTCACGATTGAATTTTCTTTTAGTCGTACGAATTTAAATCCCTAATTAGCCTTTCCCTAATGGTTAGTATCCCAGGAATGATCAGTTCCGGGTGAGAACTAACTACGAGTACATTCATAAAATTCAGTATTTTATAAATCCCAAATGGACCAATTTTCAGGATGTCACAAAATCTCTAGAGCATTTACGAATAAACAAAGCACGCTCACGGTCAATTAGCGCAAAAATGCATTGAACAAAAAAAATTTGTGAGGGTGCAATGTGATTGGTAAAAATTATAATTCATAAAAGAAATTGTTGGCTCATAGAAGTTTCAAACTTCACCAATAATTTTGTGAATTATATTTCTTTTTTTCTAGATCTGGTTCATAGCCCCAAAGACACTAGTTTCGATGCATTACAGTCCATTGAGTTTAACCCATCATAATTCTTTCATTTTTTTTTCAAAATCTTATGAAATATGTGGGAGATTGTTGAATATTTCAATAGTTTTGAAAATTTGAAGCCTTTGATGGAAGTCACGACATCCATGAGAGCCATTATTTTGTAATGGTTTAGATAGCCATCAATTTGATGACTATCAATTGTACGGTTTTGTAATAATTTTGACAACCATCAACTGATGAAAAACGGCTTGATTTTTAAACTTGGCGAATAACGGATGATGTAGGAATTTATGAAGAAAAAATAGCTCTCTCTTTCATTGAACCAAAAAATAGAACCTACAAACCATAATAAGAAAGATACGGTGTCAATGAGAAAATTCTCTCTTCTCATTTCCATTTATTTTCTTTGTTGGCCTTTTACATATAATTTTGTTGTTTTTGTTTCTTCTATTATTCAATGCAGAGTAAAAAGGAAGGTTTGTCGTATCCCGGAAGAATAGCCGTTAGAGCCTATTGCACTGAGTTTTATATTTCGAGGGGCGAAATTATCCTTAAAAATAGTGTCCGCATATTTCGGACATTTGATCTTATTTTTCCATCTTCTCCAACTTATTTCCAACATCCTCTACCAAACATATTGTGATTGCGACGCTTGAGAAGAGGAGGAAGCATCACATCGATCACTCGACATTTTTTTTTTTGGTTAAAGATCACTCGACATTGAAATACTAGAATCTTAAAATATACTTATATTATTTTTGTTAAGCTAATTAGGAAAAGAAATAAAAGGAAATTAAGTAAAAAGTAGAGAAAGGAGATGAAAGGACAGAATCGCCGAGGGAAATAGTATTGATTAATTGACTAAGGGTGTGTTTGTTTGTGGAAAAGTATTTTTCAGGAATTCATTTTTTGAACTTTCACACGTTTGATTCGTCGAAAATGATTAGTCAATCGAAAATACTTTCCGATCAAGAAAAAAATTCATGTATAAAATTATGAAAGTGCATTCTCTAATCTAAGAAGGTGAAAACATTTTCCGAAATTGCTCATCTTGAATTTGTTAGTATTTTATTTTATTCTTTTCTTTTTCTTTTTTTATTTTCTTTTTTTTCCCTTCTTCCTCCCTCTGCCGGTTGCCATGAAACAAACGCATTTTGAAATCATTTTCCAAATGAGATCCAAACACCAGAAAACTTTTTCGATTACATATCACTAACAAAGGAAAACTAATTATTTTCCTGGAAAATGATTTTCCGAAAAATATTTTCCAAGAAATGTTACGTTTTCCGTGAAACAAACGCACCATAAATATCCTTAAATATCAATGGTACAATTTGAGAGATAGCTTTGTCAAATTAATTTCCCCTATTTTCTTCCACTTTTCCAAGGGAAATAGAATGTTGGCTCAAGCGAAATTTTTACTTTCTTTCTCACCCATTTCTATTTTATTTTAGTATCCAAAATAAAGGAAATGCTTCCCTGGCCAAATAAGATTAAACTTATTCTATCTGGTGTTTAGTGTAAAGAGAAATTAGAAATTGGCCGGACATAGTCTCGATAAAATGCAAATAAAAAAATCACATCTAGAGAATGTGATATATTTGGATAGGATTAAAAAATAAAATATAATAGAAAAAATGAAAGGTAAAAACAAGGACTTCTCAATGGTGCACCACCGGCTTCACCATGGACATCAATGTTGGCACCACTGGCAACCACCACTTGAATGTCGCGGCTCTCACATGACCACCATGTAGTTGTAGCCATAGCCGCTGAAACCGAACCTACTAGGGGTAAATGTCGTCCTCATGTGGTGGTCTTCTACCTTCCCGGATCTCAGTCGGGGAGCCCAACTTAACCTTTTTCAGTCATAGTCAACAACCACGATCGACGGCAGCCATTGTGGCGACCATCATAGTGATGACGGTTGCAGTGGCGGCTGCTGCACAGTAGCATACAGCTTTTTCCTTTTATGCCTTTATTAGTATTTTTTCTATTGAACTGTTTCAATCTTATCCGAGATTCACCAACGCATGCGATGGGATTTTTATAAACCGATAAATTTTTTATCTCATTTTATCCCATCCTATCCCAACTCCTGTTTAGATGACCGGATGTAGCTTGAAAGTATTTTGCACATTTAAATTCAGATAGAATTGCAAATTCAAAAATAAATTTCGTTATACACATTATCCAATAATTATGTTAAATTACACCATGTTGACTTTCTTCTTCGAATTATCATTGTAACAA